CTATTTTTTCTCTGTTTTTACTAACAGTTCAGATAATTCTAACCAAAATGATTAATAATTTCACTACTCATGTTGTATCTCTCCCAGACAAATAAAATGAAACAATCTTCTCTGTGAAAGTCTTTGAAGTGAACTTTCAGGCATGAAGGCATGAATGACTTACGTGGCTAAAGAGGCCAGAGTTTCCCCTTTGTCATCAGAGGATGCAGAAAGACTTGCTTAGAGCACATATAGGTCAGAAAGCGGGTTCTCATAAAACTCCAAATTATCCTTGCTCTTAGATTTCCCATTCACCAGAACTGTGACAAAGAAGTATTTAACTCTTATAAGCTATTATGTTTAGTATGGCACCCTAGAAGTTTAATATTTGCCCACATCATCTGGTCTATTTGTAGTGACAGAGTATTTTATACTTTATAGTGCAACTTAAAGTCACTCTTTCACCATGGGTACACAACTCTTATTTATCTTTCTCTTCTGCAGTAAAGCCTCAAACATCTTACTTTAGATCAAGGCTTCACTTACCTACTTAGCGACATACACTCTAGGTGAACAAGTCTAGCTAGGTTACAGACATGCTGTCGCTTGTCCCAGATGTCAGTATGCTCACATCTTTTTAGGCTCCCTATTACTAGAATGTCACTTACCCTTGAAAATACTACTTTCACCTAAGAATCCAATCTATCATGCTTGCACTGCCTCAATTTTATCTGCTTAAATCACTTTTCTAGCAACAGTGACAAGCTCTCCCATCTATGTCCAGAAAGTTTTCAGCATTGTCTACCGGGATATTTATAATAAAATATGTTTATCTTATTAGCAGCTGTATAGCTCTGATTATATTATAGACCTTATCATATTAGATTAAAACATACATATAAACAAATTAAAATTTTAAGTAAAAGTAAAATTTTATAGGTAAATTGTACTCTATAAAACCTTAATTAATTGTTATTAAGTTATCTTACAATATTGTTTGCTACAATGTGTCAGATATATGTATATATGTGTGTGTTTATATGTATAAATATGCATATATATGTAGTACTGATGTTTTGTCGCTTTCGTTCAGTCTCTAGATTGCTAGTAGCAGCAGGACTGTGGTTCAGCAGGAAAACACCTTCCATAACATGTCAGAGTCCCTGGATTGAATCCTCAGCACTGAAGAAAATTAATTATTTTGAGACCCTTTGCACTTTGTTTCACACTTGCCCTTTGGTGTTCTAATGATGCAGTAACTTTGAGTTTATGGAAGATTGTGGCCTCCAAGTACCACTAATCCTGTTGTTCTGTGGAACTGGCTTGCTCACTATTGCCTTTTGGAGTCCTTCATACTGGTCTGCTCATCTTTAAACTTGCCAGAGAAGCTCTGCCATTTTCTGCCTTCACTCTTTAAAACTGGCCGAGCCAAAGTGGGCTCTGGGTCAGGGGTTATAAATTGCCTTTAGTATCTTCAGATTAAGAAGAGAAAGAGGAGAATTTCATTTCGCAAAATTTTATATTGTATCACATCATGCTCATGAAGTGGACACCTGGGGGCCTGAATTAAAAGGGTCATATAGATGAATGTATTTAACACAGAAGGAAGACTTTGGTGGTCTGGGCAAGAAAAAATGGATATGTATTATTTTAAAACTGTATTTTATAAAACCTTTTGGTAATAGGTACCTTGTTGTGTTTACTCTAACTTGCATGGCTATAAAGGCTCTTGGGTTAAAGTTTTGTCACTCTCAATAATGGCACCATTTTGAAGCTGGCAGAAATATAAAGGTGTGTACAACTTTAGGCTGCATGTGGCCCAGGACTGCTATGACAACATCCCAACACCAAACTGTAAAGTATTCAAAAAATTGCGAGATTGGTCATTTGTTAGTGCCTGTGTGTGTTCAATTTGATTGGGCAGTACTCTAATATGTCAACATCATGCCTTCCTGTGTGGGAATGCATACAGAACGAAAGCAAATATAAACTTTTCTGGTCCTTGAGGCCGTGGAGATATCCTTGAAGACATTAGGATCCTGGCCACTTCCTGTCTTTTTCTTATCTCTTAAGAAAGTTGTAAGTTAAAAAAAGAAATCCCTCCACCAATCTGCAATGACATATTAAAGGTCTAAAAATCCAAGATCCCTTTAGGCAACTGTGAATACCATAAGCCAAAATAAACTTCCTTTTTTATTAACTTGATTAAATCAGGTACTTTATTACAATAATGGGAAGCTGACCCACACAGCGAGAATTACTGTAAAGCAGTGATCATACAGTCATCTACATTTGAGAACCGAATCAGCAGGAACTCAGGAGGTGAAAGAATGATTTTTCTTTAGGGCATTTTTCTGTCCAAGTTGATACCTGATCTTCCACTTTCTTTTCTGACATAGAAAACTATGTCACCTCCATGGCCATGCAGCATTATCTCTCTTGTGTTTCCTAACTCTTTTCAATGTATTCTATAAGAATATGAAATAGGAACTTGAGATTATTAGTAAAAGAGCATAAATTTTGAGTTTAACCATATAGCATTATCTTTTATGGCACAAGGACTAAATTGAATGACAAGTTATGCTTTCCTTAAACTCACATGATTCATTTTCAAACTGAGGTTTCCTCTTCAAATCCATAGCATTTGTTCCCCACATAACTCTGTTTGTATTCTGCCTGTTATTAATAAGGATACCTGGATGACAATAAAGCCTAGTGTAGGAGAGGCAGCTGGTATGTTTCTATTGTTTGAATACATTTCTTTATTAACACCTGTGCTGTGATACAATCTTTAAGATGTCTGTTATTAGAACTTTCACCTGCTCATTTCTTCCTTTGACTTTTGAGTGTTACTTACAGATAATTATTATAAAACTTCAATATTATAAAATATTATATTGTAAATAATTATTTTACTTTTGAAAATTCCATAGGATTACACGATGTATATTGATCATATTCATTGACCACTACCCTTGCAGCACTCCAACCCACCCCACTCTAAACTTAACGTCCCTTATTATTCAATTTGTTCTCCCAACATTTGCATGGGTATGTAGCTATCCATCAAATCATCAACAACCTACCAGCGGCCACTTAGTTAACACAGAGTGACAGCCATCACCAGTACTCCACACCAATAACTCCTTCAACAGAGATGAAGTCTCAGGGACCTCATGACCCATCTTTCCATGAATTCTGACTGGCTAGGTCATATCCACATAATTATAGCTTTTGTGAGTTAATGCATGCAATAAATAGATAATTTCTATAAATCAGCATTTCACAAATCTCCTCTCAACCAACCAGTTTTTACATTAATTTTGCTTCTTTGTTGAAGTTTCTGAAAACTTGTGTGGTAGTAGGAGGTTGATATAAATGACCCATCCACAACTAAATACTCTGTTATTTAATTTATACTACTTGCATTGATCAGTTATATGTTACCAAGGGCTATGGAGTATCAGCCTCAACTCCCTCGTAGCATTCAGAGAGAATGGTATGACAAGTGAAGGGCTTGGGATCTGAGGACAGAGAATGAGTCTCTCAATCTGTACTTTTTATGCCAATTTTAATGTTCTGTTTCTATCCTAATTTTCCTAGTTTTTTCTAGCTTCTTCTATTCCAAAACCTTTTTTCTTTCAGAAGCCTTGAAGAAATGAAGAAATTACAAGAACTACCTTCTCATTAGTCAAAAGCACATTCCTTGAGCAAGCAATAAGAAGATGAGCCATTTACCATGGTAACACAATGTCCCCAGGCCATAGGAGCAAGACCACAACAGGACAGGGGCAGGGCACAGTGCCCAATGACAACTTTGAAACACAGATCCATTGTTAGATGACATTCTTTACTTGGTAACCTTGATTGGACATCTCTTACTCTGACCTTGAACATAGCTGTAAGGTTTTAAACTTATGAGCTATTTCCAAAAAGTCTTTAGTCTACTTTGAAGTTCTTCTGAGGTAAAAGGAAGATAATTGTGTGTAGTTTGTGTTAGACTAAAGAAAAAAAATTTTTTTGATATCAGCCAAGAGTAAAAAGAAACAAAGCAGTCTACTAAGCATCCACAGTGTTCACTGAACAAACAGATCCAATTATGAAGCATGTCTCAGAATATATTCTATACAACAAAACTATATATCCAAATGAAAAGTCATCTTCCTAACCATCATAGATATATATGACCAATAGATGGAATATTTTCATGAGATCAACACACAAGAAGTGGAAAAAAAAAAACAAAAGCTATTATGAGGGAAGAAATAAAGTTCTTAGGGAAGATAGAAAGTGACTCATGAGGGAAATTATAGACATGAGCAATTGGTTTCCTCAGCCAGTAACTCCACGGACTTTCCACGTAGGGCACCCTATCCAAGAGTTCCTTATCTGGTACGTTGTTCTGTTTAAAGCTCTTTATTATCTGCTGTATTTCTCATGGCCTCTAACAATGAGTCACTAAATTAACCACTACTCACTACCCACTACCAGAAGAAGTTTATTTGGTGAAGCTTAAGACCAGGAAAAAAAATCTATTATTATATACAAAAATATTTTAATGCATTTTTACAGTATGTTATTTTAACAAAACAGTAGCAATAGATGAACCTCTAAAGACTATGCTCATTATTTATCTAGTATGCTGTTCTGAAGAAAGAATTACTAAAACAAATCTTATCAACATTCTTGTGGTACATTATATAAATATTTTTCTTTTCTTATAAAAATGTGACAAGATCCTAAACATTCAAAGCACTAAAACATGAACTTACTATGCTTGTTTAAAAAATTAGATAAGAATTACACATTCATACTGTGATATAAACAGAAACATCCCTAAATAATTAGATATATAATTATCAAATATAAGAATTAAAGCAAAGAATTCTAATTTGCATATGAGAACCTGAAGAATACAGATTTAGAATAGTAGTCTCTCAACAAAGTGAAGAGTGATAGAATGCTGAAGTAGACTACCTGAGGATGCTCAAAATGAAAGGAGGTAAGTGAGCCTTAGGAGAATGAAAAAAGAAACACAGGTGTTGGAAGAGGTAGAAGAAGTAGGCAAGATGTATAAGGATATAGAAATCCAGGTGAGCATTGCAAATGTCTCCACAAAACCTAGTTGAACACAACAGAAGGACTTAGGCAAAGAGAAATTATTCTGATTACTGTATGATAGATAAATGAGGTATCTGACAGATAGAGGAAAGACAATCAGAAGAGACTTATTTTAGTACAGTCATAAGGGAATAGTGAGTGATTCTGGCTGATAGTGTAGAAATGGCATTTGGAGGCAGAACTTTAGATGTATGCTGCTGCTATAACATCAAAAGAATCCTGTTTGTGAGTATTTTTCATAGAGTACAGGACACAAGAACACTAAGAATAAATGGTGCGAAATATCTCCCTGAAAGTTGATAATACATAAAACCTACCCATAGGCCCATTTATATGTTAAAATATGATTACCCAATTGTACATCTGTTCAGATACATTAATTAGTACAATATATGTGTCAGGTGTTTTACTTGGTATTAAAGATATAAAAATAAACGAGATGGTTCTTGTCTACTAAGCTATAATTATTCTGCAAGAGGTAGCTAAATAAATAATTATGTGCAAGGAAATTATATTCATAAATATTTATGAAATAATACACACAAATTATTAACAAAACAAATCCATTGATGTATAAAAATGATAGCACAACATGACCTATTTTGTGTTGTCCTCTGAAGCACAGGTCATGTAACATTAGAATATATATATATATATATGTATATATATAACATATTAAAGGAAAAGACATAAATAATTCTCTCAATAATGATTCATAAAAGTTTTGATAAACTTCAATGCCTTTTCATCATCTTAATTAAAAAATATGATTTTGCTTACTGATATCTATATGCCAAGATAAAAGTGTACATTGCTAATAATGGAGACTGTTAGATAAATTTCATTAGAATTATGAAAATTGAATGTTTCTAATACCCCATTCATCTTTTACACTACACTGAAGACTGTAACCACTACAAGAAGTCAAAAAATTAACTTCTACAAAACACAGACTCAAAACAGTATTGAATGCTACTCTTTATAAGCTTTCACCAAGTTTTCAGAAATAACACAAAAAAGAACTTAAAATAAGTGGCTTAGTACTAGGAGAGGTAATTATTCAATCATATAATACTGGATTCAACGTATCAAGAGTCTCCAAATATCTGATACTTCACCCTATTTACAAGATGTAAAGTACCTGATATTTGAGAGATAATAGATTTTATTACTCATGTCAACAGACACCATACAGATCATATTGACTTTGTTCCATTGCTATGGTTTCCACTGTATCATTTATATAGGACCAGATGCTATCTTCTACTCAGTAGACTGCATTACAGGAGAAGTATCCTTAGGTTACAGAATGGTAATTCTTCAGACTGGGAAATTAGTCTATGAACTCTGGATAACAAACACTATGGTGCATAGTTGCATTGCTGAATGAACACAATGTATTGATAAGATCTTCAGTCTATATACCATAAAGTTACAGGCAACCTCATTGACTAATTTTTAAATACTGATACAGAAAAGTAAAGGTATAAAAGTAAATAGATCAAGTTACATTTCAAGTATAATAATGTGTGCCACAAGTCATATAAGGAGAATAAGAATAAATATATGATTTCAAAATAAATAAGAATGTAATACCTACAAAGATGTTAATTAACAGAGAGAGAGATAGAGAAGAGAGAGAGAAAGTAGAATATTGCATTATTTAGTTTTAATTTCCAATTTGAATCAACCTAGTAATGTGGGAGAAGAGAAGCCTCTATTTTAGAATTGTCTAAAACAAAATAATCTGAGAGCAAGACTTTGGAGGATTAGCCTTATGTGGGATTCCCTTCTGTATGCTGTGAATACCATTAGTTAATAAAGAAACTGCCGCCCAGCAGTGAGCCGGAGACTGAAGCCATTGTGACTGAATATCTGAATAGTGGAAATGCAAATGAAGCCGTCAATGGCATGAGAGAAATGAGAGCCCCGAAACACTTTCTTCCTGAGATGTTAAGCAAAGTGATCATCCTTTCACTAGATAGAAGTGATGAAGATAAAGAAAAAGAGAGCTCTTTGATCAGTTTACTCAAACAGGAAGGAATAGCCACAAGTGACAACTTCATGCAGGTAGAACATTGTACTGATTAGGTGATAGCTCTTTCCAGTTGTGGGTGGAAGCTAATAACTGTTTTGAATATTCTTCCCAAGGCTTTCCTGAACGTGCTGGAGCAGTGCCCCAAACTGGAGGTTGACATCCCCTTGGTGAAGTCTTATTTGGCACAGTTTGCAGCTCGTGCTATAATTTCAGAGTTGGTGAGCATTTCAGAACTAGCTCAACCACTGGAGAGTGGCACCCACTTCCCTCTCTTCTTACTTTGTCTTCAACAATTAGCTAAATTACAAAATCGAGAATGGCTAACTGAACTTTTTCAGCAAAACAAGGTCAGTATGCAGAAAATGCTGCCAGGTAAGAGCTGACTGACTTAGTTAACAAGTGATTTTTGTGTACTAGGAAAGTATTTGAAAAATGGTCTAGATAAGTCAACTTGGTAAAATGAGAATTGTCTTTGCAGAAATTGACCAGAATAAAGATCGAATGTTGGAGAGTCTGGAAGGAAAGGGATTGAGTTTCTTATTCCCACTCCTTAAATTGGAGAAGGAATTGTTGAAGCAAATTAAGCTGGATCCATCCCCTCAAACTATATATAAATGGATTAAAGATAACGTCCCTCCCAAACTTCATGTAGATAAAGGATTTGTGAACATCTTAATGACCAGCTTCTTACAGTACATTTCTAGTGAAGTAAGCCCATCTAGTGATGAAACAGATTCTTCCTCTGTTCCTTCCAAAGAACAGTTAGAGCAGGAGAAAAAACTGCTGCTCTCCTTCAAGCCAGTGATGCAGAAATTCCTTCATGATCATGTGGATCTACAGGTCAGTGCCCTGTATGCTCTGCAGGTGCACTGTTACAACAGCAGCTTTCCGAAAGGCATGGTACTTCGATGTTTTGTTCATTTCTATGACATGGAAATTATTGAGGAGGAAGCTTTCTTGGCTTGGAAGGAAGACATAACTCAAGAGTTTCCAGGAAAAGGCAAGGCTTTGTTCCAGGTAAATCAGTGGCTAACCTGGCTAGAAACTGCTGAAGAAGAAGAATCTGAGGAAGAAGCTGACTAAAGAACCAGCCAAAGCCTTAAATTGTGCAAAGCATACTATGATGTAACTGCATTTGACCTAACCACTGCGAAAATTCATTCCACTGTAACGTTTTTCACAATATTTAAAGCAGAAGCACGTCAGTAAGGTTTCCTTCTGCATAAGGTTTTTGTAGTGTGATGTCTTAATCATAGTCTATCATTAAATACTTTAGGAGTATCCTTAATGTTTAGATAGAATATTAGCAGCATGCAATAATTACATCCTAAGTTCTCAAGCAGAGGAAGTCTATTGCAAAGACCTTCTTTGCTGCCAGTTACCATAGGCTGTTTTTAAGTTAAAAAACTGAATAGCAACACTGAATACTGTAGAGATGCACTTTGCTCAGTAATACTTGAGTTTTTGCAATATTTGATTATCCATTTGGTTGTTACAGAAAAATTAACTGTAATTGATGGTTGTTGCCGTAATAGTATATTGCCTGTATTTCTACCTCTAGTAATGGGCTTTATGTGCTAGATTTTAATATCCTTGAGCCTGGGCAAGTGCACAAGTCTTATTAAAAGAAACATGGTTTACTTGCACAAAACTGATCAGTTTTGAGAGATCTTTAATGCCCTTGAAGTGGTTTTTGTGGGTGTGAAACAAATGGTGAGAATTTGAATTGGTTCCTCTTACTATAGTATTGAAATTAAGTCTACTTAATTTATCAAGTCATGTTCATACCCTGATTTTATATACTTGTATCTATCAATAAACATTGTGATACTTGGGAAAAAAAAAGAAAAGAAACTGCCTTGGCCTGTTGAGAGGCCAGACTTAAGTAGGTGGGGAAAACTAAACTGAATGCTGAAAGAAAGGATGTAGAGTCAGAGAGAAGCCACGGAGCTGTCACTGGAGACAGATCGCTAAAATTTTGCTGGTAGGCCACGACCACGTGGTGATACACAGATTAATGGAGATGGGTTAAATTAAGATGAAAGAGTTAGCTAATAAGAAGTTAGAGCTAATGGGCCAAGCTGTGAGTTAAATAATATAGTTTCTGTGTGATTATTTTGGGATGAGCAGTTGGAAACCAACAAACAGCCTCCCTCAACATCCCTGATCATCAACTGCTGTAGAAGGACCAGTCCCACTGTGAGTGACACCATTTCTGGTGTAGGAACCCTGGGTTATATAAGAAAACTAACTGAGCCTGACCCTGGGCGAGCAAATGAACAGCCAGTATTCATTCACGTATATGGAAGTTTTTGCTTCCAATTACTGCTTGAGTTCATTTCCTGACTTCTCTCCTTAGTGAACTATAAACATCATTTGAAATAAACATTTTCTTTCCCCAACTTCCTTTTGGTAACAGTGTTTTATCACAGTAGCTGAATTCAAACTAGAAGAAAGAGATTTAAAGTGAAATTAAATCATTGTAGGCCTTCATAGAGATTGAAAACTTAAGCCATGAACTGAGGACAGGAAAAGTATCTATGATGAATCCAATTAAAAAATAAAAAATATAAGAAGCTCATAAAGTAATAAGAAAAATGAAGAACTGTTATCAAAAGACATGAAGAAACATCTCACAGAAGACAATTAATGGACTCATAATATACTTAACTCCATTAATTTTATTTCATATAAGTAGAAATCAATGCAATGCTGAATGTATTTAATCGCATGTAAATTGTATATAAATCAGTAACAGCTGACTCAAGTCCCAAGGCAATGTAAATTAGATCAATGTTATTTCAAACAAACAGACAAAATATAATATGAATACAAACTAATATCAGGTAATTTCACTGTTTAACATAAACTAGAGAAAAATTTGAGTATGAGAATATATTGTATTCTAAATATCCTACCCTAAGAAATATGTGTGAAAGTTGGTGTAGCATCCATATTAATAATATCAGAAACCAGAGAATGTGATGAGGCTAAGCAAACTCATCTGTCACTCTCAGGAAAGCGTGTTGTATTAGATTCTCCTCAACTGCTGTGACAAAAACAGGAAAAAAGCAACTTAAAGAGGAAGAATTTCTTCTAACTTGCAGTTTGAGGTTACAGTACATCATGGTGGTACACCGTATTAACTTCCGTGACAGACACAGGAATGGGAAACAGCTAGTCATAGTATATCAACAGTCACGCTCACATCTAGCTAGCTTTCTTTTGCTTTTATTTTTTTCTTTTTTTAAATTTATTTATTAATTAAAAATTTCCACCTCTTCCCCACCTCCCTTTTCTCTCCCCCTCCCTACCCTCCTCCATCTCTAGTCTTAAGAGCAGTGAGGGTTCCCTGCCCCGTGGGAAATCCAAGGTCCTCTCCGCTCCATACAGGTCTATAAAGGTGAGCATCCAAACAAACCAGGCTCCCACAAAGTCAGTCCATGCAGTAGAATCAAAATGCAGTGCCATTGTCCTTGGCTTCTCAGTCAGCCTTCATTGCCAGCCATGTTCAGAGTGTCCATTTTGATCACATGCTCCATCACTCCCAGTCCAGCTGGCCTTGGTGAGCTTCCATTAGATCAGTCCCACCGTCTCAGTGGGTGGATGTACCTCCCGTGATCCTGACTTCCTTGCTCACGTTCTCCCTCCTTCTGCTCCTCATTTGGACGTTGGGAGCTAAGTCCAGTGCTCCAATGTGGGTCTCTGTCTCTATCTCCATCCATCGCCAGATGAAGGTTCTATGGTGATATGCAAGATATTCATCAGCATGGCTATGGGACAAGGCCAGTTCCGGCACCCTCTCCTCTGCTGCTTAAGGAACAATCTGAGGACCTCTCCTTGGACCTGGGAACCCCTCTAGAATCAAGTCTTTTGTAAACCCTAAAATGGCTCCCTTAATTAAAATATTTACTTCCCTGCTCCCATATCCATCCTTCCTCCAACCCACCCATCCCATTCCCCCAAGCTTTCCCGAATCCTCCCCTTCTCCCTTCTCTCTACATGTATACAAGACATGTTGACCAAGTGCACCTACATTCCTTTCTTCCCAGTGTTTTTTTCTAGCCCCGTATTCACCATTACATTCGATTTCATATGTTCTTTCTCTCTCTTTTAAACCTACAGAATCCACTTAATGCTGCCAGTATGCAAATAGTTGCAGGGTCATCTACTGGAGCACATAACCTCTGGGGTGGGATGGGGTGTCCATTCCAGAAAAAAAATCTTTTTACTCTTTCCCAAAGAGTTATCAATTTCCAATAATAACTCTTCTGCTATGGGTGGGGTTTCTTGATTGTCTTCTCCCTCCATCTGGAGAGTCTGTTTAGCTTTGTCTTTCACGGATTTTGTGAATTTTTTCACATTTGCTGTGAGTCCATATTTTCAGCAGACCCATTTTGTCTAGAAAACAGTATTTTGCTGTACAAAAGGGGATTTTTGTCTCTGTCTCTTAGAAATCTTTCTGCATCTTCTTTTCTGTGATAATCCCCATGGTGGTAATATGAATTAGAATGGCCAGTTGGTGATAGTTTGGGGAGGATTAGAGGGTGTGGCCTTCTGGGAGGAGCTGTGTCATTAGGAGTTTGAAATGTTTAAAGCTTCCAAGTCCTCAATATTCCCAGTAAACTCTCCTCTCTTTACTATTTGTGGTGAGAATGTAAGCTCTAAGATATTGCTTCAGGGCCAGGTCTGCCTGCCTGGTGCCATGCTCTTCACCATGATAGCTATGGGCTCTGATCATCTGGAACTACTGTAATCTTCCATTTAAATGTTCCCTTTCCCCCCCCTCTCTCTTTTCCCTTCCTTTCCTTTATTTCTTTTATATCCCAATCTTCGTTTTCTCTCCCTCCTCTCTTCCTAGCTGCACCACACTACCCATCTCACCCACACTTTCTCTGTTTCTATTCATAAAATATCAAGGCTGTCATGGATATCAACAAAACATATCATATCACGCTGAAGTAAGACTAAGTACCTCCTCTCATATTAAGGCTGGACAAGGTAACCCAGTATGAAGAATAAGGCCACACAAGCCTGCAAAAGACTCAGTCACGGTCCCTATTCCCAGTGTTACAAATCTCACAAGAAGACCAAGATGCAGAACTGTCACATAGAGCTTAGGGCCTAGGTCAGTCCCATTGTACCATTCAGGGTTACCAGTTGTTGTTTATTAATTGATTATTGTTGTGAGATAATGCTCTTGCACCCTGTAAAGATTTGTCACTTGTATTGGTTTGATAAAATGCTAATTGGTCAATAGCCAGGCAGGAAGTATAGGTGGCATGACCAGACTAGGAAAATTCTGAGAAGAGGAAAGATTCAGTCTGTAGTTGCTACCCAGATGTGGAGAAAGAAAGGTAGAAATGCTGTTTTGAGATACATGGCTAACCTAGAAAAGAATTATGAATTATTTTAAGTTAAAGAGGTAGTTAATAATAACCCTGAGTTAATGGGCCAATCAGTTGATAATTAATATAAGCCTCGGTGTGTTTCTTTGGAACCGAATGACTGTCGGATCAGGTGGGACAGAAACTGACTGTAGATTGGGTGAGGTTTTTCATAATGTCCTTGATCAATCTGGCGTCTACAATCTTTCCTGCCTCTCTTCTGTAGGATTCCTGGAGCTCTGCATAATATTTGCTTGTAGATCTCTGCATCTGTTCCCATCAGTTGTTGTATGAAGCCTCTCTGATGACAATTGAGTTAGACATGAATCTGTGAGTATTGCAGAATATCATTAGGTGTCATTACATTGACTTTCTTTTTTTGCCAGTCATGTTTGGTTATATCCCAGGATTATAGGCTGTCCAACCTCTGGCTCCTCATGCTCCATGCAGTGTTGGGAGTGGGGGTCTTGCCCTTGTGGCATCAGCCTCAGGATAGACCACTTATTGGCCACTCCTGCAATCTCTGTGCCAACCTTACCTTGGAACATTCCATATGCCGGACACCCTGTAGGTTGAAGGTTGTGTGATTGAGTTGATGTCCCAATTTCCCCACCGGAAGTTTTAAACATCTTATTTTATAAGTTTTGTAAGTAGCCTTTATCATGGGGTTTTGTCCCAGGAATAGAAAAGTAACTGTGATACCTGAGTATATCAGGTAACCCTGAGTCTTTGGAGAATGGTGTGTCATATAGACTCCCTGCTTAAGCCTAAGCACTGCACACTCTCTTATATTCTGTATATTGACTATCTGTAGGTCCCTGTGCTAATAGTATCCACTGCAATAAAAAGGTTCTCTGGTGAGGGCTGAGTGATGTATTAATCTGTGCTTATAATGATAAATCTCTATAAATTTGTTTAATAGTATGTGCATTTAAAGAAATAATAATAGTACATTCTCTCATGTAATCAACACTTCAAATAGCCTTGAGTTCTTGTACCCATTATCCATGTTATGCATGAGTTATATCTTGTGTAGTGGGCCTTAAGTCCATTCAGAAAGTGGTTGGTTTTGTCCATCACACTCATACCATTATTGTATGAATGCTCTTATACCAATCCAGGCCAGACTTCATTAGTGTGGTTCTCAGGATACACATATGGCTTATACCGATATCTACTTTTCTCTTTTGTTAGCATACATGCATCTATAGCATAGTCTAATAGCATGCCAGTAAAAATGAACCTACCATATCTGTACCATCTTAATTTTTCTGTGTTCTATGACTCAAGTACCTATTATCTTCAACTATAACGTCTTGCCATCAATA